GTACTGATTTACAGCAGAGTGCCGAGCCGGTAATAATAGAGCCGCTCGCTGCTGTCTGCAGCCCGCGCTCTTTGCGTGATCGGCTGCCCATAACTATTTCACTCGCCAATTTGCTGGCCACACTGCATCCATTCCAAGATAATGACCCACGCTGGCTGCTATATCTGTACCCGTCGTGAGCAGACTGCCACCAATGCCGGTGTTATTTCTGGCCTGACCTCGCGTGGGGAAACGACCCGTGACGCCGTTCCCCGTGTCGTTATAACTCGGAACGTCACGCAGTGTCATCATGACATTATTGTTGGCTCCATTTCGTGACGATTTATTTCTCTCCCCTGCAGACATCAGTCCCGAGGATGCTGAGGTGTACTGTAACCTCAGTCCTGACCTGGTCATTGCCGAGATGCGGCACGAGGGTCAGGAGCCGACCCAGCTGCGGGTGCAGGACGTCACCTCCGCCGAGAACATCGGCAAATTCGTCGAGGACGTCCGGTGAGTGGTGGAGAGAGCAGTGAGGGACGGGGAGAGCGGTGGGAGGTTGGGTTGGACGAGGACGGAGCGGGATGGAAGCGGTTGGCTAAAGAGATTCGGCGAGTTTGGTGATCCCACAAATGCAGGAATCCAAGAATGGGGGCCTGAAGCGAGGAAGGAACGGTCGCCTGTGTATTATTGATATTCTTGTGATCAGTCATTGAGGAACCCTGTGTGAGGAATGTACAGAAAGGAATGTGGTGCCTAGTGCCTAGTTACCGTTGGTTCTGAGCTGTTGCCCGTGTATTGACCTTACCGCTACCTCCCCCTGCCGGACGTGTCACCCAGACCGGGTGTCTCTCCCGGTCCGTACCTTACCTCGCTGACTTCCCTCTCCCCTCTCTAGGGTCGGTATCTACCCGCTGACGGCGTACGCGCCGCCGGCGCCGCCGCCCATCAGTCAGGTGCGGGCCGCCAGTCCGGACACCATCGAGTCCGTGCACTCGGACACGCCCGAGCCGTGCGAACGAGAGGGACGCAAGGTAGTCACCATGATGTGCGAGGTCAAGTCGGACCCGGCGTTGGACGCCAGTCTCACGGTGAGAGACGGGCGGAGAGAGAGAGGGGAGGGGGCGGCTGACGAGAGCTGTTTTCAGGTGACATTCTGCAGGAGGAATGGAGGGAGGGGGCGGGGGATACCGGGGAAGGTTGTGGATACGGTGGTCGGTGCATGGCTCAAAGATACCGTAGCAGCTTCTTTGATCTGATTTTGTTGTGCGCCGGCTCACGCCAAAATATTTTCCTTCTTTGCTTTGAACTACCAGACACTTTTGCAACTTATTTTCATCGTGTCTCTGTGGACTGTGCTGCGCCCTTTCTTGTTGAACGTGATGATTTCAGTTGGCGCTGGCTCGCCGATGGCTTGTCTTTCTCTTTCTGTTGCGTATACACGGTTCGCGCTGTGTCCGGTTCTCACTCACTTTGATGCGCTTTTGTTGCATACATGTCGCGCCTAATCAATGTTAGAGTATCAACTCGTCGGATTACGATACTGCTAGGAGCGGGACATGAAAGTCTGATCGATATTGAGTGTCTCCGAACGGTTCGGCAGTGTGCCGGTCACTGGTTTCACTCGGCGGCCTTTCGAGCCGGCCCCTCAGCCTCCCTCAGAGCGATTGTGTCATTAAGGCGGCCGCTGCCGAACCGTCGAGCTAATCTTGATATTGCTGATGATGTATTTCATTTCCAGCTTCATTTCGAATTTCCCCTGTGAATTCGATCCCACATTCAGTTCTAGTTGTTTCTTTCCAGTTCTTATTTTTGGTTCAGTTTCATTTGGAACGGCAGAATGGTTTTACCTTTGGTAATTTGCCCGCCATTTGAAGCTATCATCCATAGGTTTTCGAGTTAAAGGCTTCAATAGTGTCTGGTCACCAAGATTCCTGCATTCGTAAAACATTTCAAATCCAGACTGCCAGTTTGCCAACGCCGCTTCATTGGTGTCCTACTTGCTGTGAATCTGCATACCATGAGCTGCTGCCCAGCCCCAGTGTCTCGAGTCTGCTGCCTTTTCTACCTCACAGAAAACGCCAAGCGTGACTTGCGGGCGCATAATACAGCTGTTCGCAAACCGATCATCTACTCAACCCGTGTGTTTGCCCACCTGATGTCCCCTTTGCCGTTCTGTCTTCCCTTTTGCTAGCCCCCCCCCCCCCCTGCAGTTCGCCCCTCTCCGCTCCATATTCTAACCCCCCACCCCCTCCCTACAGTTCGCCTCTCTCCGTCCCATATTCTACCCCCCCCCCCTACAGTTCGCCCCTCTCTGTCCCATATTCTAATCCTCCCCCCCCCCCTGCAGTTCGCCCCTCTCCGCACCATATTCTGACCGCGCCTCACTACCCCCGCAGCTGGTACTGTTCCTGCGGCTGGACGACAAGACCAACCGGCAGTTGTCGTGCCGACTGGCCCCGGACGACTCGGGCTCCCTGCTGACTGAGGAGCTGGTCCGGCACGGGCTCGTCAACGAGGTGAGACACGGAGCGCCAGGATCATCACTGGGGAGAGGAGGGGTAGCTGGGGGTGATTGCATTCCTAATAAGGTGATTGAAGGCGCCAGGGTTTAGGTTTTATGTTGAAATGAAAGTCGTGATTTTTATTTTTAGTTGGTTTTGTGCGGCCTCCTCCTTACTTTTCATGCAGTAGCTGTGAAGTTGTTTAGAATTTGCTATGACATCGCACATGCATCCCCGTTCCGTCCCCAATCTCCTTCCTGTCGTGATGTGTTGGGACAGTCGGTTCCCTCATTTACGTCGGCCAGCTGCTATTGTAAGATGACGTTCCGCCCTGTGTTGGTCTGAGTTCTATATGTAGCTGACGGTCTTCCCCCTTCCGTCCGCAGATGAACCGCGATGAGCTGACCAAGCTGATCGACGGCCGCCTGCGCGCGCTGCGCACCTCCCAGCCGCCGACACCGGTGGGCGTGAGCTAACGGCCGGCCGGCCGGCGCGCGCCCGCGCCGCTCCGCTCACCCGCCTAGCCTAGAATCTCCCCGCCTGCCGCGCCCGCCCGCCTGTCCGCCCGCTGCGCCGTCTTCCGTGATCCGGCCGCCTGCGCGCGCGCCGCGCGCCGGGTCCAAGCGCGCTGAATTAGCGCGTGTGTGCGTGCGCCGCCGCGGCGGCCGGTTGGCCGGTGCCGACCCCAGGATGGTCGGTGGCCGGCGCCAGGGCGCGTGTATCTCAGGACTGATCATGATGAGCTTAGTGCTACGCTTGGAGCGTATCGGGCGGCAGGCGATGCGCGCTGAATCAAAAGGCTGCGCGTGCGCGTCTCTCCTGCGCCGGGAGCCCAGTGTCGGAGCGCGCCGCGCCTGGTGTGTTTGTACGACGAGAGCGCGCGCGGCGCGGCACCGACCGGCGCCGGCGCGCTCCACTGCTGTCCGCCCTCTGAGAGGGCCGTGCTACTGCTGTGAGTGCGCGAGCTGTCGCAGCGGCTGGCGGTCAGCGGCCGGCACCGGGCCGTTTTCTGCAGTCCTGCCGCGCGGGCCGTACCCCGTGGGCTCCGCCGCCGACCGCCGCCGCCAGCTCGCTCTGAATATTACCACCCGACTGTGCGGCCGCCGCCGACCGAGCGGCGCGTCAACTCGTGTGTCATTGAGGGGCCGCTGTCCAGTTCTTGTTTCCGTCTCTTGTTTGTGTTCGGGCGCGCCCGCCGAGGCGCCCCCTGTCCCGGCCCAGCGACCAGGCCAGGGTCCCGCCCGCCGGCGACTGGAAGAACGCCCGCCACAACCGAGTGTCAGTCCACTTACCGAGTTTTATGTCTGCGAATCTGGTTTGGTATTTCTTTGCATTAAATACTGATCTGGCAAGTGAAAATAATTCCCGGTGGATTTGTCCGTTTTAATCTTTATTTAATGAATACAGAATACAGTTCGGTTCGCGTTGTTGGTATTTTAGTGATGGTTGCAATGTTTACTTTACCTACCCTGTTTCCTCATTACAAGGGAGTCAGTGGTTGTGATTGCAGCAGGCAAGATCAAACTGAACTGTAAAATTTATTCGGAAGTAAAATTCATTACAATTTACAAGCGTAGCGTGGAGATTCTTATTTGACGTGCAGTTTTATAGATATTTCCGGTCGTACCAAAATTGTTTACGCTGCCGAAAGATGTAACTTGGTAAGAGAACCGATGGATACTTCTCATCGTCGTTCATGATCTAAAAAACATGAAAATATTTCGCTAGATGCTTTGGCCTATGATGCATCCCTGAATCCTGATCTCACGCGTTCAAGCTAGCCAATTTAGTGAAGGCGTTTGATCTAGCTGTCTCAATTATTACCGGCTACCGCGGTGTGGATGTCGACCGACGACCGTTTGAGTTTAGCTGGCATTGAAAAAGTTCATTACTGGTGTCCCAGCTTTCGTTGATGTGTGCTTTTGTATTTCTTCTTCCTCGGGCAAGCCGCCCTGCAATATTATACTCATCATAATGTAGAGATTGGTCAGGCTTCCATGATGATGATCGCACTACAGCAAAAGTCGAAATGTCTAAGAACGGGGGACGCCGTACAACCCTTTTATCCGCGGTGCTGAATGCTAAATGATGTTGGTATTTGGTACTAAGGAGGTTAAAGGTTACATCAATGTGCCATTCTTATCTTGAATGTGCTCGTGCTTCACGTACAAAAATAACCAATTTTTGAATAATAAAAATAACCAGAGGGATTCCCTAGGATCACTAGCGCAATGCAGTGCGACTACACACCCACCCAATATTAATGACCATTATTATGGATGCATCAAAGTATTTGTTGTTAGGGCCTCAAAGAACCCTGGTTTGAAACGCAGGCTAGTAGTACCAAGTAAATAACAAACTTGAAGCACATGCTCAAATGAAAGCACCAGTCAAAACCAACTCCTGCGTGCAATTATTTAGTAGTTGATAGCCCAATCAGCTGATTTTTCGGAGAAAACCTCTCAAAGCTGCGCAATAGTTACATTCGTGGTGGAAAACTTTTCCGTGGTTGTTTATCAATTTTTTTGATTTTTATTTCTGGGGTTGAATGAATGGTCTGATCCTGAGCTTAATTTTTAACCATTGAAGGTAGGTTTCATTGCATTCAATATTTTTCCTCCGATATGTGATGTCATTTCACTCGTTAGTCGTTAGTCATTTGCAATGCAATAAGCTAGGCACATAACGAAGCTGAAGCTGCATTCTTGATTCAGATTAAGCAAGTTGGTTTCTAACCTGGTAGGTTACTTAGATAATATTTGTTTTAGCCATTCAGTATCAAATTAAGTTCCCTACCTGTTAAATGACAGTTTAAACTTCCAATATTCGTCCTCTAGTTTTATTACAATTTGTTGTATGTCGAAGCTGAAGTGGTACGGGCATGAAGTTGTTACTTTTAACAATTCCTCCTGTGATATTTAGGTAATTTTTTTTAGAAGCAGTCACTTATTGAGTCTTCTCTGTAGCTTCATCCATTGAACCCAGTTGCCAATACTGTGTTGCGTTCCAGCTGAAAATGGGAGGGGGCGGCCGGCCTTACGAGATTCCTGACTGGAGGAAGTACAAGGTGGAAGACGCCCCAGAGCTGGTCAATGTGCGAAATGCCTTGGCTCAAAAGGGGTTGAAGGATCCATGGCTGAGGTAGGTTGAGGTGGCTAGTAGCTAGGTACCTAATTAGTTATCATATGTTTATCATAGTAAACATATTATCATATGTTTGGAGTTATATAAAACATAACTATCATATGTTTTATATAACTCCAAACAATGTGCAAAGATAGATTAGAGGTACACTATCCAGTTCACTTGCTGCCTGTGGCTGTGCCTATCTATGCTTAACAAAATCTCACTGATGAGCTGGACAGTGCCTCATTTTAGCAGGTATCTTGATTTGAGTTTAAAGCCACCCATTCAATCACATAACTGCTTAACTTGTAAACAATTGTGAATCAGTTGCTGTGATGTTTCTACTTTAATAGAAAAAATCAACTTTCAAATAATTTTGATCCATTGGTAGATTGCTAAACATGAGTATCCAGATATGCATGGTAGATAAACTAACTACATACAACTATGTATCTGTATTTTGAAGCCATATTTGTTGGTATTTATGGTTAGTAAGTAGTTGCTTCATCACATTCCTTTTTTGTCATGCTCTCTAAGGTAGCTAGACTATTTGTTTACTCATCTGCATAGATCTTCCAGCTGCTTCCAGCCAGTCTTTCTTTCTGCTGAGCATTTATCAGCACTAATGTGAAGCATCTTCTCATGCTTTCTTTCATTCATTTTCACTATGCATCCTCAGGAACGAGGTGTGGAAGTACGACCAGAAGATGTTCCTCAAGCCCAACGAGCGGATGACGCGGTTCTTTTTCCGCGGCTTCAAGTACGCGGCGGCAGCGATGGTGGTGACCATTGCGGCCGACAAACTGGGTCTGCTCGGCTCCAGTGATCACGGTCACGGTCACCACTGAGGGACGGGGAGGTACGGCCGCCGGGGAGGGAACGCAGCTGAGGGTCAGGACGGATGGAAACTGGAAACTCAAGGACAGCAGGCTCTCGGTCAAAGGAGGTCTACAACCATAACCGGAGGTCTAGAGGTGTGGAACAACCGGGATGAAAGAGATAGATCTTCGTAGGGGGACTGCTTGGTTCAGAATGTTGGTTCGGCTCCAGGCAAATAACGATCATGTGTGTCTTCTCCTCTGATATTTCTCGACGCCCGGTTGAAGTATGATAATGTAAATCGCCTACTCCAGTGTGGACAGCCGCTGGCACAGTGTGGCTGAGACGCTGTGGACCGTCACTGATGTACGTAGTCGTACATTGACCATGTGTAAATATAGCGAGAGACTGTGTGACAAATGCCTGTGCGAGATGAGTGATGACCCTGGTACGGAGTACCATTAGGAACAGAGACCTGAGAGTTACGGGAAGTGTCGATAACACTGGCTGAAAGATATCGCAGCTAGGAGATCGTGGGGTGAGCCGCAGGAGAAGGCACTACTTGTGTTCTGTAGCCAATTTCTTTCCCGCAATCTAAACTAACGACACTGGTCTCCACTCACCTACCTATGTTTTTAACTGATCATGACTCGTTGTGCAATATTCAGACGCCTTGGCTCGGTATCTTGTGACGTCACAACCCACAAGCACGCCGGTAGCTGAGACAGTGTGACCGATAACTACTTAAAGATAGACACGATTCATTGATCTGCTCCTTCGTAGTTTCTATCCGAATGCCGTTATGATTTTCAGGAATCGATGAACGGAGTCGTTACCTGATGCAATCCTTTTACGACGAACCTGTGAATGGCGTAACAAATCAAGTATCTTCCATTACATACATTGTCGGCTCGTTCCACCGTTACAAGTGAGCTCGTTCCTGTTTCTTCGTCACCCTATGGCACTGAATTATTCGAGCAAGCAGTTGATAGCGGACTATGTTTTTCCATGAGTTTGATCAGATCACAGATGTGAACCAGCTGTTTGTTCCACGCTTTACTGCTGGCCTTTACTCTAAGGCCTAGCGCGGCGGTCTTGGGCCGCGTCACTCATTACAGCCAGCTAATGCCCTGTCCCAGCTCGACGGGTAGGTACCCCGCGCCGGTAGATGGCGAGTCACTGTTTCCCTAGTCAGTTGGCTACTTGGTGACTGCAGGGGCGGATCCAGAATAACTCCAAGAGGAGGGTCATGAATCGAAGTGGTGCCCCTACCTATACCCAAAATTAAAAACTCAACAGATTTTGGCCACTTAATTTTGGTGGTGCCCTATTTTCCTTTTTTTTAGACTTGTGGTGCCCCAGCGGCCCAGCTAGGCCGGTGGTGCCCCTGACAGGCATGTGGTGCCTCTGGTCGGGTCTGGGTAGGCCTGAAGTGACTGGTGCCCCTGCTAGGCCGCTGGTGCCCCTGACAGGCCTGCGGTGCCCCTGGAAGGCCTGTGGTGTCCCTACCCCTGTCAAGGCTAAGGTGCCCATGGGCCCTGACAGACCTGTGGTGCCCCTGACACGCCTGTGATGTCCTTGGTAGGCCTGTGGTGCCCTGGACCCTGGCAGGCCTGTGGTGCCCCTGCTAGGCCGCAGGTGCCCATGACAGGTTTGTGGCGCCCCCGGAAGGACTGTGGCAACGACAGGCCCATGGTTCCCCTGCAAGGTCGGTGGTGCCCCTGGCAGGCCTGTGGTGCCCCTGGGCCCTGACAGGACTGTGGTGCCCCTGACAAGCTTGAAGTGTCCCCGACATGCACGTGGTGCCCCTGACAGGCCCAAGGTGCCCCTGGCAGGCCTGTGGTGCCCCTGATATGCCTCTGGTGCCTCTGAAAGGACTGTGGTGCCCCTGGACCCTATAAAGCCTGAGGTGCTCCTGACAGGCCCGTGGTGCCCTTGCTAGGCCTGCGGTGCCCCTGACAGGCATATGATGCCCCTGGCAGGCCTGTGGTGCCCCTGGCAGGCCTGTTGTGCCCCCGGGCCCCAAGGGGGGTCATAACATGTGACCTCCCCCCCCCCCCCCCTGGATCCGCCACTAGATGACTAGGTGTCTTGGTGGGTTTAGTTAGTCTATTTCTCACTCAAAAATGGATCGACGAAACTTCCGTTACATTTTAGCGAGAAATGGGGTAACGGTTAACCGGAAGTTGCGTTTTGAAGGAGCGGAAGAGCGGGTAGGTAACGAAGCTACAATTTAAAACAACGGTGCCCACCACCCACAAATGTGTTGCCGAGTCATCATGAGGCGATCGATGACTATTCCCTGTTCAGTCCACGCTCGTCCTTGCCGACCCCACAATCTACGTTGTCTCTCCGATAATGAGTCAGCTGTGTGGACAGCGATATGGACGGCGGCCACCCTGCTGCCGACAGCCAGCGGTCACTCTCGGTCGGAGCTCAGCGGTGAGCGGACCTGACGCCGCAAGTGTCGGTGAGGGGTGACCACCACGCAGTCATCTGAGCCGGCTCCGCGATGGTCGCGCGGTGGATCGTCCTGTTGGCGGTGGCGCTGACCTCGGGCTCTGCCGAGCAGGGACCGCGCCAGCAGCTACTGCAGCGGCTGCCCGACTTGTCGTGGTCGCGTCTGTCGGCGCTAGAGCGCCTGGTGGAGACGAGCGGACACCTGTCCACCGAGGAGCTGCTGCGGCGCACCGGTACCCTGGAGCTGTACCAGGCCCTGCCCGAGGCTGACGGACAGCTGGACCGGCTGAACCTGCTGATCGGCCTGCTGATCGGACCTTACATCACCCCGCTGGCCGCCTTCAGAGAGATTTCTCCGCTCTGCCGCCAGCACAGCTGGCAGTACGTCACCAACATCCTCGGCATCAACAACACCTGGGCGCTGATGATGTTCGACTCTGTCGGCAAACTGCCCGACGGCATCTTTGCTGGCAACACAAACCCGGTTGGCATCTGGGACGAGTGTCTCAACGTGGAGGCAGTCATTGACGGTATCCGTGAGGAGGATCACATGTTCAAGGGCAAGTACTGTAGACCTGAGTTCGGTTTGCTGACCAACGCGTCCGAAGATGGTCAAGTCCAGCACTCACTGGCTGAGCTACACAACTGGTCTTCGTATCCCAGCGGTCTCGGCATTGAGCCGATCTTGCCGCCGCTGATCCACGTATCGGGTCACACGGTGCTCAGCCAGCTGATAGTCTCTGTGGGGCTCTGCATCCCCTCCTCGTGCTCCGCCGACGAGCTCAGACTGGGCCTGGAGAAGAGGATGCCCGGGGTGGCGGTGACGCTGCCCGACGGCAACTGCCATGTTCTGGACCAGGAGACCACCTTCACCGGCGGCGACATCGCCGTCATGACGATCCTCTGCGTCGTCGGACTTCTGATGATCGTGGGAACGTTCATCGACGTTGTGAAGGAGAGCGCCGCCGAGGATGGCGCCACCGTCAGCGTCGTTGTCGACTCCAAGTTCAGGGCGCGAATGCCGTCGACACTTCAAAAGGTTTTTCTGGCGTTTTCTGTTTGGACCAACGGCAGGAAGCTGCTCGACACATCCAGCTCAAGTGACACACTTGGCTGTCTACATGGCATCCGTTTTCTTTCAATGACGTGGGTTATTCTTGGTCACCAATATGTCTTTGGCCTTGGTACAGTGCCGTGGGCGAATGTGTTCTATATTTTTGATGTGTTTAACTCCCTGGCTTTCGCAGCTGTTGATAATGCCACTGTGTCTGTTGATTCCTTCTTCTTCCTCAGTGGGCTTTTGGTAGCTTACATTTTCATGAGGAACATGGAGCGGTCCAAAGGCAAGTTCAACATCATCATGTACTACGTACACCGGTATATACGTCTCACTCCTGTTCTTGCAATGGTTATAGCCTTCGTCTCTACACTATACAGACACATTGGAAACGGTCCGTTCTGGAGCAACATCGCTGAGAACGGATCGCCGGAGGTTTGCAGCGAATACTGGTGGAGGAATTTGCTCTACGTCAATAACCTGTTCGATCCTCAGGAGCTGTGCTTGGGCCAAACGTGGTACCTGGCCAACGACATGCAGATGTTCATCGCCTCGCCAATCGTACTGCTGCCGCTCTTCTTCTACCCGATACTGGGCCAGATCTGGCTGATGTTCCTCATCGCGCTCAACGTGTTCGTCACCGGCTACGTGACTGCCTACAACGACCTGGGTCCTCAAGATAACGGCAACAACGCGACTAAACTGCGCTACTTCATGCCGTACTGTCGTTACGGCGCCTATCTTGTGGGCGTTTATACGGGCTATTTCTTGCACGTCCGCCGCCGCCGGCCGCTGAAGCTCAGCCTGCCGGCCGTGCTGGCCGGGTGGACCGTCTCTGCGCTCACTGCCTGCTGCATCGTCTACGGCATGTACGAGTACACCACGGTCCCGGCTCTCGCAGTACCGTCGCGTTCGGTGGCGATCATATACGGCTCGATGAACCGGCCCGTGTGGGCTATGTGCCTGGCCTGGGTCGTCATCGCCTGCGTCCACGGCTACGGCGGGTTCATCAACACATTGCTTTCGTGGAAGTTTTGGATCCCGCTCAGCCGGGTAACCTACTGCTGTTACCTGGTCTCCATTGATACGCAAGTCTTCTTTTACGCCACGCTCAAGTCGGTACTCTACTTTGACCAGACGAATGCCGTTTACCAGTTTCTGGCGACGCTGTGCATAGCTGTAGCTGTTGCAACCGTCTTCTCTCTGGCATTTGAGTCGCCGATGCTGGCGCTGGAGAAGATCATCTTTGCCAACGTTGGCACAGGCGCGCCTAAAAAGAAACCAGTGGAGCCGGAGCCGGTGGCGTCCAAGCCAGAACTGCAGACAGAACTTGCGGATGGGTCGCCACAAGAGGAGGTGGAAAATAATTCCAGCTAGTTCCACGCTGATTCTTGCCATGTTATCGAGTGTTCTATAAGCATGGTGAATTTGTGTTTGTTGAATTATTCATGAATGGTGAAATTTAAAAGGTGTTAACATTATTTAGGCTTGATTTTTAATCATGGATCACAAATTTGAAAGAAGGTTTGTTTGTAAATATGTTATAGGTATATCGCTGTCACGATGCTGTCACGGGTCATCTCATACAAATGAATATCGTTAGGAAGGTTATGAATAAACAGGCTCTGTCATAATCTGGTTTTGAATTTATTTATTTATTATTTACCTTTTTTTTGGTTCACCCGACAACCACAAACTAGTAGGCATTACGACGGGAACTGGAAAAAGCACAGATAAAAAAACTGCCTCGCACCGTTTGCACATTTCATATAACAATATATTTGAGGTTAATTGCAGAAATGTGACAAGCGGATTAGCTACAACTTACAAGTAACGCCCGCCCTTAGACCATCAGAACTACACACAGTAGGAACTAGGGATCTTGACGAGGACGAAGTTATTCAAATAACCTTACCCAGTACCTACCTGTACTTATCTGAACACTAAACAGACTAAATCGCTTACTCAAGGCTTTAACCTGATCAGTCAAGACTCCAGCACAGTAGCGGCGGAACACCCTCAAATAAGGGGGGGGGGGGCACTGCCGACTTTTGGTCCCATTATTTCCATGCAACGCCCATAGGGCTAATGTTAAAGTGCAATAATCAAAGGGGGGCACGGTGTCCCAGTGCCCTCCCCGTTCCGCCGCCTATGCTCCAGCAACGAGTGCGTATGACAAATGACGATCCCTGCGTCCCACAACATAGGTTATTCACAATCGAATTTTCACCTTCGGCAACTTATCACAGATTCGCAAGCCACACAACGTCCTCCGATCTATAAAGCCTTCCTCCCTTGGACTTCCATCACAATTCTTCCCTGAACGTCGTGTACACTACGCGCATGGCCGTATAAAGACACTGCACGCACACGCCGGCTGTTTGCCGCCAAAACTACTATCGCCATTCGCCATATCGGCCAATGGTAACAACTGATTGATTGTGGTAAAGGTCCCGACCACTATACGTTTAGGTGCAATTAGAATTTGTATAAAAAAATGTCAAAAGTATTTTATGTCCAGCTTGAACAGCTCAGGAGGATAATTCCGTTTTTGTTCTTGCCGATTTTTAGTTGTTCGTATAATGCAATTCCGGTGCGGACTGTGGCTTCCGCCTTCCAGTGCCTCAGCCACGCTTTCCACCTGAGGCAGGGAATCTTGGGTGGTATCTTGCAGTGGCCACCCAGCCATGCAGAAGCACGGAAAAGGATGGAGCTACGTGCCGGCTTTCTCAGATCCAAAATATAAGCAATCGTCTTCCGTCCTTAGATATACATGTAATAGGTGCACTCGGGAATGGAATGGAGAGCACAGTTCTCATCCCCGTCTTCGCACCACACAGTCCACGGTAAACGGACGTGATTTTATTTTGGTGTTGGCCAGAAGAAAACAATTTTTATTATTGGGCTACGCCATAGAATTACCGTTAGGCAAACAATGCGTTCAATAGGAGCAATGTCCGAATGCTGACTAATGCATTTGAAGTTGAACGAATTATGTTCGAACATAAAATATGTATGTGACCTTTAGCTGCCAATTGGCGCCAGCCTCTTAAATATTTACTTACGGATCTACTCATAGCAACACATCTTGCCTGTAGATATATAAATGTAGGTGAAATGCTCTTGAAAGCTAAATCTTTGATTAAACGTATCACGCATCTGACGCTATGGGACTCGGTATGTCACCGCAGCGTGTTGAGTCAACACAGGGTCGGAGGGGGGCACGGGAGACGCACAGAGGACCACGCGCGCCGGTCAAAGGTCGCGATAAATGGCCACCTATCTCCGGCCCACGGTCACTACAGTTGTCGACAAGTATCATCACACGTTGCGTAATTGTGTATGTGCCTGCTTCATAGTGAGGTAGGCAGTATTGAATTGGTGAACAAATGAATCGACTTGTGTGTGCATAAAACATAGCTGCGTAGGTACAGTTTCCACGGGCTTTAGTGGTCGGTTTTGCCGTTATTAAATTTATTAAATTTCCGGCAATGTCTTCTTCGTATTAAGCGTTTTAGGGTTGAAGATGCGATTAATTTATTTGTACACATGTCTGCCATGATCATTTAAAATGGCTTCATCGTTTACCAATTAGTTTCTGTCTGAGATATAGCCGGAAATGTGAAAAAAAGACAAAATATACCGCTAAACCATCGCGAGACCTGTACCAACTTAGGTACGTATCTTTTTATATCTTCCTGTTTTTTTTTTTTTAATTTGTGACCGACTTCGCCGTATGCCTACCTATTGTTTCTTGAAGCTTCACTCGGGCCACTAAAGAAGCACTCATCACTATATGCCACCATACAGGTGCTACGTCCTACTTATAACCCGTTTAAAGTTCGACTCTCACTGTAAACGTCTCTTTGAACACAGCACGAGAATTGGTGGCTGAATTACTGAGAAAACTGGTTGGAACACATTTACTTCACAAACTATCAACAAATATTTCGACCCAGGGCCCAGTTTCACCAAGTGCGGTAAACGGTTATATGGCCTTGGGTAAACTCAATCTGGGGTAAAATACCAAACTGCCCCACTCCGTAACTACTAAAATACTACCCCAAAATTAAATTAACCTAACTTGGTGAGGTTGGGCACTTGGCTCAATCTCACCAAGTTATGTAAACTTAATTTCGGGGTAGTATATTTGTAGTTATGTAGTGGGGTAGTTTGATATTTTACCCCAAATTGAGTTTACCGCACCTGGTGAAACTGGGCCCTGGAGAGTCATTTCTACCCAAGGCCATTTCTACCTGGCTCCTATAGGCCAAACACGGAGCCCGTATTCGCTCATATTTACAACCCCACAGGGATAGACGATTTGTCAGGAATTATAATTGAACTAATTAATAAATCGTACGGCGTTCGATTAACGGTAGGTATATATTCGGTGTTCACAATGTATTTTGAAAATACTGATAGGTAGGTATAAGTCGGCTTTCTCGGACAGCTTCGTGGTTGAAAATATTAAAAAATATTAGGCATTCATATCTCCAACAAAATGTGCGCTAACCACTTTTCGCGGTAATAATTCCTAAAGTAGTTCCTTCCTAGTAATAAATAAAAAGTAGGATTTTTTCGAGTCTGTCCGATCGCTTAAAGTGCACAGATGAATACGGCACGAGAGGAGCAACATATGAGTGAACAGAAATAAAAAAGTTAAAACAAGAATTAAAAAGAAACAAGATGATATTTCCGGCTAAAACACATATATATATATATATATATATATATATATATATATATATATATATATATATATATATATTATATATATATATATATATATATATATATATATATATATATATATATATATATATATATATATATATATATATATATATATTTCAATGATATTTATGTTTAGGGCCTTGTTTTCGTCTGGTCATTTCGAGACTTCATATGCACTCTTCACTAAAGCGCTTTAAGCGATAAGACAGGCTTTAAAAATCCGACTATAGTAATTCTCGTGCTGTGTTCAAAAAGATCGGACAGTGACTATAATAGTGAAGGCCGAACTTAGAAAAAAGAACTTTATGTAGCAATGGCCATCAGGACTTTGCCCATGATGGGCCACATGGATCCGCCACGGTCTCCATAATCTCACAATCTAGAGCGTAGAGCTGATAACATTTTAAACAGGAAACTGACAAGTCGGTGTACGTTGATAGTTCGGAGCTCGAGAGCTGACCAAACATGACATGTGATAAAAGCGATGACGACACGGGGCATCGAGTCAGTCACCAAGTCAGAACTAGAAGTACACTGCACTTATTCTCCATCGCCCGTAAGTAGGTATATCATATTCCAGATAAACGTATATGGCCGGAAGTATATAATAGCCGTACATGTGATTGCCCATACCTTGACCTATTATAAGTAGTAAGTATGATATATGATATGAATATACTTATTCATATCATATCAATATGAAGACCTATGAATATGCTTATTCATATTCATGTACTGTAACGCAGATGCGTTACATTTTTTTTTCATCTTTCATGCTGAACTGCAAGCTGTGCCACAAGCTGAAACACGGCCATCTGCGAGCGCCGCACAGACACGGTCAGCCGGCTAAATCGGCTGTGATACCCTCTCTCCGTCCCAGCTGGCGTCCACACAGACGGCGCAGTCGGCTCTGACAAACAGGGGTCCTCTATAGATGACCACCCCACTTCATGAGAACCCGGATCTGAAGCCAACAAATAGCATACCGAAACGCGCCATTCTGCCAGCCTCGAGCCATTAATCAGTTTAGCCTTTGGAAAACAAGACTCTGTCCCACGCTCGGCACCCCGCCAGAGAACAAGGAGAGGGGAGTGCAGACCGGCCCTGATTTGAACCAAAACAAGAAAGGGGAGCGGGGACCGACCCGGTTTGTACGAAAACAGGATGAAATGGAACTCGGTCGCCAACGACAAAATATAGGACATCTGGCCGGAGCTGACTTCAAAACAAGGGGGAGCGGAGGGCCAGCCCCGCCACCTGGCGCCCCAGACGCCGTGATCGCCGGCGGCGAATTCCACCCGACCGCTGCGTGAAAGGGTGTGACTGCCATGGCCGGGGGTGCTGAACTTCAGCAAATCACGAACGTTTGAAGGCGGAGCCAAACGCACTTTCTGAGAATGGAGGACGAAGATTGGACAAGGAGATGCTGCCCGGCCCTCTGAAGTATGACGTCATCAAAAGTATAAGTTAATGAAACGGAACTAGAACCCTCTCTCTGGCTCTCTCTCGGACGACGCATTCGGCCTCTCGCATCGCGGACAGCCCACGAGACACCAGCGGCTGGCATCACGGCGCCGGCGGCGGCTCTGGCCGCCGCGGCCGGGCCGGGCGCTGGACGGACACGGCCATCATGTCAGCGACTCCATCTCAAGTAAGGTCACGCGGTGAACACGGGTGCGCACCTAGTCCCTAAATCCTTCAAGTACCCCCCCCCCCCTTCGTTACTGCTATGTGAGCCACATTATATTCCCCTTTTTTAGGTGTCGTTGCGCAATAATTTAGGCCATTCAGTTTAGGTAGTTCAATTTATTTTGGGAACCTTCAGTCTAGGTAGCTTAAATTAACAATCCGATTTCGGTCAATTATTTAACTATGGGCGTGGTGCGAGACGCGTGCC